GGTGCTCAATCTGTGATGACTATTTTTTTCTACACAGTCACACCAACATTAATACAAACTACCTACAGACACCGAAACATATGCATCCATATATACAAAAGCAACCCTCCAACCAAATCTGACTTTGTGACCAATAGCAAGTAGAGCTGTTACTCAGCTGAGTCCTGGAACTTCCATGAACATGTATCTCCAAGGACTCATAACAGATGAATGGATGCCAAGAAAAGAGCTGGAAAAATGGCACCCTGCCCAGTTGGAATGAAATGCTAAGAATTTTTGTCCTAGTTACTCTTAACACTGGATGGAGCTGGGTAATATTTATAAGGTTTGATTTTAAAAAGCCAAGGAAGGGAGGAGGGCTTGAGGTCAGAGGGGCTCCCAGCATGGGAGAAGTGGAGGCAAATGAAGTTGGCCATCTATCATCTGAGATGGGCCTGGTGCCAGGGCTATCTAAGGTCTAACTTAAGAGTTCATCTCTATTCCACATCCTAAGAGAGAAGGGGCTTCCCCCGACCCAATCCCAGCATGGTTTATTCATGACAGCTCACATACTAGAGAAGGGATGACCAGAAATCACCAGGATTCCTAACACCTATAGGTTCACACCATCGTTTTGAGTGAGATGACTCTGATGACACTTTCTCAAATGAGGCTGCCTCTAATTTTCTTTATGACCCCACTTCCAACCGTGAAGTCTCTGGATTCTGTGTGTCTAGAGTGCTACACTTCATCTTCCAACTCAGCTCTCATATTTGAGTCTTCTGCTCAGCCAGCTTGATTTTTACAGATGTCAGAGCCAAACACATGCTAGAAGTTCACCCCCTACACCCACAAGGAGAGGCAGGCTCACAGTGTACTCGAAAATGTGTTCCTCTTATTAATGTGCTTCTAAAATGCTCCATGATACTCAGTGCAAAGCACGTGCTGTGTTCAGTCACAAGGAGGTTTTCGGATTTCAAATGCTTTCTCTCTGAGCTTTGAGGGACAGATGGAGAGAGTTTTTAGCACAAGCAGAACAGAGGCCCTGGTGTTGGAGTTGTAACTTACCCAAAGGGAACCTGCGGCTTTGCATTTTCATGGTGGAGTGGAGATTGTTCTGATACGTTCCCAGATGTTTCCCTGTTCCATCTTCCTTCCCCTCCCTTCCAACTGCTCCAGTCCATCTTTTTTTCTGACCCTTTTTCTCCTTTCCTTCTTCCTTCCTTTCTTCCTTCTCCCTTCCTTCCTTTTATTTCTTGCTTTTTCTTCTTTTTTTTGACAGTGCTGGGGGTTGAACACAGGGCCTCACACATGCTAAGTAAGCACTCTACCATGAGCTACATCTCTAGCCCAGTCACCTTACTTTTTTCTCCGTCTGCCTTATTCCCAGAGAAATAATGGTACAATCAAGCCCTCAGTTTTCAGACTCCAAATAATAAACTGATCAAACAATTTAGGCCAAAGAGAAGAAAACCACATCCCCAAATTCAAATGATCAAGCCTCTAGTAAGGATTTTCCCCCTGCTTGATTCAAACAGTGCATGCACACACACAGAATAAAAACCAACAGCTCTATACAAAATGTTTACAGACCGGGACAAGAACAAGTGTCAAGTGTCATCAAAAAGCATCAATGACGAAAACAGAAAATATGGAAAAGCCTAGTCCCCCAGCTTGTTGGTTTGCAACAACTCATAGTCCTTAGCAGTTTCCTGATCACAATCTCTTAGAAGGGGAGACAAGAGAGAAAAGCTTTAGTGGGTCTTCAAGCACAGAAGAAAGTCTTAGCTGGGCATGGTGGTATACTCCTATAATTCCAGCTACTCGGGAAAGCAAAGTGAGCAAGAATCTATCTGAAAAATAAACTATAAGGAAAAAAAAAAAGGCTGGAGGCTCATGTGTAAACTGTTTGCCTAGTGCAAAATCCTGGGAGAACTCCCCAGTGCTGGGAGTATAATTCCTATCCGAGGGACCGAGCCTTAAAGGCTTCTAAATAAAGAGATTCTGCCCCAATGTGGGCACTCAGTAGGTGGCAAAGGGCCCTCCTTGTTCTCCAGTTTGGAATTAATGTGCTCTAGAGGCAGCACTGCTCTCCACCAGCTGTGTCACTGACGATGAGTTATTTTACCTCTTTGGTCTTCAGTTTTTCTTACAAATGAACATTAAAACTACTGCCCCCTGTCATTGACAGGTTAAGATTGACTAGGAAATAGGAAAGTCCTTGGCACCAAAAGGAATAAAGCCCAAGAGTCAGTGAGTGGTGGACCTGGGCAAGGAACTGACAGACATCACCTTTGCATCAGTGCTATACACTCAGGGAATTTACTTCCAATTGTCATTTGATGAACTGAAGCTCAGAGAGGTTATGCAACTTTCCCAAGATCACATATGCCAATCAGGAGGCAACAGAGGAGGGCAATGACCAAGTTATAAATATTATGCTCCATAAAACACAACTGTACTACTGATCAGTGGCATACAGGAAGTATTAACTCCAAACTGAGTTTCTTGAGAAAAAATTTTATGCCAGATGCCTCTGGTTCCTTCATTTTTTTTTTTTTTTTTCTTTTTCAATGCTGGGGATGGAACCCAGGGCCTCATACATGCTAGGCAAGCACTCTACACTAAGCTCCACCCCAGCCCTAATATACTTTTAATTTCTCTTGCAGACCCCTGCATTGAAGACCCATTTCCCCTAAATTGAACAAGCAAGACGTTGGGAGGACAGGGGAAAACAGCTGTCTGATTGTGTGCTTGAAACCTGCTTACTAGCATGAAGGAAGATCACAAGTCTGGCATAGAGGTGTTATGCCAGAGGACACAAAACAAAGCCAGAGGGACAGGTGACAGGCAGGCAGGGGAGGCTGATGCCTCTCCCTTAACAGTCAACCCAGAAGCTGAAGCCACCCAGGTGGTGGCATAAATTCAGCCTGGAACTTCTGAGAAGCCACATAGCAGGTGAAATACACATTCAAAGGCCTTGCTGGAAAAGGAAGGCTTGCAGAAGAAAATGCTGAGTATCTGTGCTGAAAAGAAAGACAGAAGAAACAGAACTGCCTCTCCCATGCACAGAGCAGAAGAGAAATCCAGAAAAGCATCAATTCCAATTTGGACCCTGCAGCTTTCTCCATGTGACTTGTCAGCTGCCGAGACAGGAGGCTAGCACTAAATGATTTTCATTATACCATCCAGTCACTTTTACATCTGCAAAACACGGTAGCTCTGGATAATATACTTTATTCTGTCAACTCCATCAATAGAGTGCAAAGTTCTTTCGAGTGGGAGTGGTTTGGCTCCAGCAGTGAGTAGCATCTTTTCTGTTTCCATAACCTCTCTGCAGGCAAATGCTTTTGAACACACTGCCTTTTCAATGGTGGGCTTTGTTTTCAGCAACAACACTTATAATGATAATGTCAGAAAGTAACAGCGACAATGACAACAATAATAGTAGCTAACATTTGCTGAGCATTTGCTAGGTAGCTGACACTGGACTTTTTGTATGTCATCTCATCAAATCTTTACACTTATGAGCCTGCCTGCAGGCCTTACTGCTTCCCCATTTCACAGACAGGGATCCCCTTCAACTCTCAGGGTCCCGTATCTCATATGGTTCAACCTCTGCATTCCCGTCTTATTACTTAAACTTCCTGTATTTCTAATTTTTCCCTGTATGGGTAAAGCTTTCTAAGTAAGCCATTCCAAACCCCCTATTTCACCATTTCTTTCTGCTCTGTGATTCTTTATAGACTCTGATGCCCAATAGAATCAATGTGTTTTCATTTTCACATTAAAAAAAAAAAATTCCCCAGGGGACACAGCATTTGATGGAAAGGCAAAACCTTTATAAGCACTCCAGGAGGCATAAAATCTAAATTTCCAGAATATGGCAATTCTGTCAAAGTTGTAACTTTGTCTGGAGGCCCTGGGGACAGTCATCTTGACCCATCTGTGAAAGCCATCAGCAGTCAGTCACCTTCTGGGGAGCAGGATGAGAGCAGCCAAGGCAGCTTCTAGCAAGGAAGCAAGGCTGCTTCGTGCAGTTTAAAGTCTGAGATGAGTTGGGGAAGAGATGGGCAGGCAAAGCAAATGTCACGCAGCCTGACACACTGCAGGCAGGCCCAGTATACATAGCAGCCCGTGTCTGTACATTTATGGCACACTGGAGCCCTTCCCTGCCTGTGCTCTTGTGCACAGTCACTGCAAGCACAACTCTAGGGAAGCAATCTGTGTGCCTAAGTTATGCCAGAGTCCAGTAAGACTGGTGGATGGCATCACATCTGGTACAGATCACTTGCTCCAGTGTGATTCTGCCCAGTCTGGATTATTTATAGTTCATAAAAGTCCTGTTGGACCCCAGCATAGTCCAAGATGGCATAACAAAGACTAATGGTATTAAAAATTTATATTTCATCACAAGACCTCCATAGAAGATTAGCAGTGCTATGATTGGTTTTTGGGAAATCAAGAGTGAAGAGAAAGATCAATGCTCTCTGTCAATCTGCTCAAATGAGGGAACAAACTGAATAAAGCAGGCTATGTAGTCGGAATCAGGCTCTGTTACCATTTCTAATCTGAAAGCACTGGCTAAAATTAAACCTTAATAATTCCAGAGCCATTTCTTTACCTGCAAGTCTGAGCTAAATCCTGGTGCCTCAGCACCTCTGATGTTTCTGACCTCATGTGCTGAAATGACAGTAGAACATGAACACCACTAGGTGTCTGTTTTTTAACCCTTTCTGCTCTTATTATTATTATTAAGAAAGGAACACTTTTAGAGAAATACTGCTTCTTGAGCATCAAGATTTAAGTGTGTCTTCATGGCACCCGGTATCTATGACCTATCACTTTGCGAATGAACTTTCTAATAAGCAAAGAAAGGTAAAAGGTGCCAGACCACCAAAAATGCTACCTGGAGAAGATAATACCTCTTATCCCCTATGCAAAGACATAGATACTTTCCCATCCTGCCAAGAAAATACACTGCTGCTTAATTTGTGAATAAGAGCAAATTTCTTACCCACCTCCAGGGAAGATGAGAGGTCCAGTCTCAGATGAAGCTTCTCCCAGCCTCTGGGGCTTGTCAATTGCCCCGGTTCACTTTCTCCCTGGATCTGGGTTCTGAAAACGCAAGCAGGACCTCAGGCAGCTCAAGCATCTTCAAATCTGATCCCTTCCTAAATGAGCAGTAGGCTCAAGCCTTAGAGGGTCTGCATTCGCTTGATCTACAGCCTGTGGGCGATCCTCCCAGGCTGGGAAAAGTGTGACTTCTGTCCTTCCTTTGGGTCCTCCTGAGTGTTCTGGTTGCCTCCCTGAGAATCCCAGTTTCATTTGAACTCCCTGTCTTCACGACAATCTGAAGGAAGTCACAGACCTCAGCCTGCGTGTCACCAGCTGATTCTGAGCCAGACCTGGGAGACCAGTGAGCTGCTCAAAAAACCCAGGCCACTGAACCAGGAAATGTGCAGTTTGGCCAAAAAATAATAACTGTCGGCGGAACGGCTGGCAGTGCTGGAGAAGTCGCTGTTGCAATGTCTGCATCCTCCGCATGCTAATGAGGCCGTGATGTCAGCAAGTCAGTCACGGCATCTGGCTGTCCCAGCCCTGCTGCCCAGGGCTGAGATTTATTTACATGTAAATTAGCCTCGCCTTCCAAATCAATAATCCCCAAGCCAGGGAGAGGGGGGAGAAAGCCTTTGCTCATGCAAAGGCCCAGCAATGCAGCCTCCAAAGGAATTGGTGGGGGGGGGGGATCATATATAAGAAGTGAGGCTTTAAAGACACAGGGCTGTTTTTCTTTTCAAAAGCAGTACTCTGATGTGCCAGAGATCAGAGCTGGACAGAGTTATCAACCTGAGCGTCTGTTTCAGATTAAACCCTGCAACAACCCAGCAGTGCAATCAGAGCGCTCTTTTTCTCTCTCTCCCTCTTTAAAAATCAAAAGCTATGCTGATCCTTCAAATGCTATACTTTGTTTTTCTTCCTTTTCTCTCTCCAACTTTCATTTCAGGGTATCAGCTGTTTGCTGGCCTGGGAGTCTGCCATCTTTGAGTTTGTGTGAGTCCTGGAATAAGACACACTGGCTGCTTTCTTTATTGGCTTGGGGGTAAATTAGTGAAACACTGTCCCCAAAGCCTTCCCCATTTCCAAGTGAACAGTGGAGATGACAAATTGTCAACTGGCTGGGGGCATCTGAGGACCTTAGCCTCATTTGACAGATTAGAAAACAGAGGTTAGGGGCTGGTGGAATGGCTCAAGTGGTAGAGCACCTGCTTAGCAGGCATGAGGCTCCGAGTTCAGGTACTGGAAAATAAAAAAAGAAGAAGAAGAAGAAAACAGAGGTTAGGTGGAGAAGGGACTTGTCCAAGGTCACAATGGGATTTCACAAGGATGGGCCAGAACCCACATCTCTGACACTCAGACTGGAGCTTCCTTAAATTCCTTTGGGCCTAGAATCTCCATCTTCCTTTACCACAAAGGGGCCTATTCAAGGAACTGGCATGAGAGAACTCCAGAAAGTAGGGAAGCCATGGGTTTGATTCTTGGCTTTACTTCCTGGTAGCAAAGTGACCTTATGCCAGTAACTTAACATGTGGGGTCTTCCATGACCTTGTCTGTACCACTCCCTCATAAACTAAATATTTGCTGAGCACATGCTCCATGCCACACATGGTTCTAAGGACTGGGTATCTCCAGTTTGTGCTCACTGAGCTTATGTACTCAAAGTCCAGTAAGTGAAAATACAAATGTTGAATAAATTATAGTCACGAATAACATAATGTCAATCAACAAAAATACAGCTATTTCTGACAAAATTTAGAATGAAGTAAAAAAACAGAAAAACTCACTAAGGTGTTGAGTTTACCAGGATTGGCCATGGATTTTTTTCCTCTATTTCCATTGTCATTTCTTATTGCTTAAAATCAATAGTTCTTTCTGCTGTTGCCTATAGGCCCCCAGGCCAGGTGAGAAGCAAGCTGATGATCAGGAAGTGGGGGATGAATGTGGAGAGTTAGGGAGGGGCTGGGGAGCCTGGGAGAGAGATGTAGACCATCATACGCAAAAGGTCCCTGAGGACAAAGCAGTCAGCAGGGCTCCTCGCCCACACTCCCCTGCCTGGAGAACCCATTCTGATGAGTTCTGCCCTTTTAGTTGGAGCTCCTGAAGCTTCAAATGAATTTCTTTATTGGATGTGGGGAAGTGAAATGATGTCTTTTGTTACATATAATTGTATTAATAATGCTTAATAATTTCTTTCAGAATGCTTCTCTCTGGTTCACAGAAGACCTTTCAGAGTGAAACCATGGGACCTGGAATAACTTTTCATCATGCGAAATGGAACATAAGAAAATGAGCAACGCTCTGCCTTACGCCTCTGCTGCACAGAACTCAGAGGATGTGGGGAACCAGATAGCTTCCCCAATCCCAATATCCTTCAAAAAGTCAATTAACAAATAAAACAGCTTGGAGCCACCAATGACAAAATAAAAGCAGTGACATCTTACCCCAGTGTGTCCATAAACAAGTCACTTCAAGTTTCTATGGCCCAGTTTCTTCATCTGAAGATGGGCACACTACCCTGAGCTACTTATCATCTCAGAAAGTGACAAGAGATTCATTGTCAACTGCAACAGATTTGACAACAGACCTACCAACTTCATAGAGTTCACAACAGAACATGGAGCTAGAAGGCACTGTCTGGGGTCAAACCTTGGGTCTAACACTTGCTGGCTCTAGGATTAGAGACCTGAAGTTCTCGTTGTGACACACAGAATAATAACAGTACCTGGCCTCATAGGAGAACTGGGACTGTCAAATGAGAATTGATATAGAACACTTAGAATTGGCATAGCACACAGCACACATGCAACATGTGTTGCCTTACAGGTAGAAGTAATGACACTTTCACCATTAATTTTAGCACTTCTTAGGAAACTGACTGAAGTTTAAAAGGTGGGGAGGAGGTGAGTAAGGAGAAGACCACAAAATCATCCCTTCTCAGGGCACAACTCAAGGTTTCATCTACCATGGGTGAGCCACTGACATGCCATTTTCTGCATGACAAAACACAAGCACTTTTTGATTGCTAAGAAACTAGGAGGGAAAGCAGTAAAACAACCAAGAGGCAACAAGGGACCGCCTCTGAAACTATATACCAGGACAGGACAGCTACAAACACTCCTTAACTTACTATGGGGTGATACCTAGTAAACCAGTGTAAGTAGAAAATATCGTAAGTTGTAAATGCATCTGACACATCTAACCCACCCAGCAGCCCAACTTATGAACATGGAATACTGTAAAGTACCAGCTGTTTCCTCTTGTGACAGTGTACAGCTGTGGCTTGCAATCACAACATCATAAGAGAGTATCGGACTACGTGTCACCAGCCTGGGAAAAGATCAAAACCTAACATTTAAAGTATGGTTTCTACTGAATGCATATGACTTTTACACCATTGTAAAGTTGGAAAATCATTCAGTTATTCCATTTTAAGTTAGGGATGACTGCCTGCATATTTCTGGGATGCATAGATAGTTTATCTACACATTCATGTAACTATTAAATGAGGATCCTTCTATTTGTTTGTCACTGTGTTAAGCCTTGGGGATAGTATAGTGACCAAGACAGATATGGGTCCAGCCTTAAAAGAGCTTGGTAATGAAAAGGGAAGACAATTAAGTAGCCATTAGAGTAGAATGTGATGTGTGTTTCCACGGGCATTTGAGAGTCCTTAGAGGATCTATCTGCAGTGCTGAGGGGGATGGAAGAAAAGCCCTTGGTACTGAGAAAGCTGGTATCTATGAATCATGCTTACACAGATTATTAAGACAACAAAAGATTCAGACCCATCATTCCTTGTGACAAATTTTCAATCTGGACACCATTTCATGGAGGATTTTTTGGAAAATATGCTGTTATGTATTCAATAAGGTAATGCAACAATTACTTTGGAAATTTCAGAAACCTTCTTAACAGGGGCAAAATGTACATTGTTTTTATAGAAATAGAGGAAAATCCCACAGTTGTGATAGCATACATCATGGATGCAGGGTGGGGAAGAATGTGCAGAATACACACAGGGGACATTCTACCAAGCATTTAATAAAGACCTGTGAAATAGAGCATGTCCTGGGTGGGATACAAGGGTGTAATTGCTGAACCTTAGAACTTTCTAGATGGTGGGATACTTACATTAATGACCATAACTGCATACAGTACATAGGAGAGACAAGGAAGCCAAAACTTACTGCAGCAAAGCTGATAAGACACCAAGAAAAGTATGATTTGAGTCAGCCTTCAAATCAAGTAACTTACTGTTTTGGAATCTGAAAGCAATTTTCTATGGAGAAGGCCTTACTAAGCATGACACAAAATTCAAAAGCTATAAATAAAAAAGATGGTTCACATTGCCAAGGTCAAATTTTAGCAGCTAGAGAAGGTGTCCCAGGAACTTCTATGAAGGAAAAGCACTAATATGAGGAAAAAGTGTGAGTATACATGTAGAATTAAAAAGTATGTCTGCATGGACACAAGCCAGCATCGCAGCACCAGCATGACAATGGCAGGTAATAACAAAGAGGCAGCTCCATGCATGCTGGACAATCATCTTTCTGTTGTAGTCAGCGTTAGTGGGAATCTTGTTAGAGGATTATGGCAAAAGGTGAAGTGAATCTGCCTGCTTAGCTTACGGAAGAGAAAGGTAAGTGACAACAGGGACTGTGACCTCCCGAGAAAGGGTTTTATGAGGAAGGGTGCAGTGAACAATTTTTGATTTCCATTTCCATATGTGTAAAATAAGAAGGAAGGGACTTTAGATAAACTAAAGCAGGATTTCACTGGGACCTAAGGAAGGCTTTTGAGTACTGAGAAGATAAGAACTGGCAAGGATCACTTAGACAAATGGCAGTGTTTTGGTTTTTGGAGAACACCAGACAGATAAAGACAGTAGTGTCCTAGGTTACTTTAGGTTAGGACTTTCTGTGAAACCCTAATTAAGGTAAGAGATATCACCAAGGTTTCAAACCACTCATTTAATAAGATTCATTGGCCTTTTTAAAACATGGATTCTGTCTTCCTCTCTCTCGCTCTCTCTCCCTCCTTCCTCCCACCCTCTCTCCCCCTCCCCTTCTCCCTCTGTGTGTGTGTGTGTGTGTGTGTGTGTGTGTGTGTAGTTTATAAAATCATCCATTCAGAAGTGGTTT